GTGGGCAGAGGATTCATCCCAAGTGAAGAACAGAGCCCAAGATCACGGGCAAAAAACCTGACCCCTGTTCATTTCATTATCTTTTCTGGCTACTAGCAACCTGGAGGGCTTCCTGGAGGAGTTTGCTGACATATCCAAAGAAGACCAGATTAAGAAACTTCATGACTTGCTGGGGCCACATATGCTGCGGAGGCTCAAGGCTGATGTCTTTAAGAACATGCCAGCCAAGACAGAGCTCATCGTTCGCGTGGAGCTGAGTCCCATGCAGAAGTGAGACGCAAGGCGGGTTACCCGGACCAGGGTTGAGGATTTGGTGGCAGCTTTCCAAGAGTTGGTGACCAAGTGCAACATCATAATTGCTTCCTTTATTGTATCTCTTCTGTGCTCCTACCCTGCTCTTTAGGAAATACTACAAGTATATCCTGACCCGAAATTTTGAGGCCTTGAATTCACGAGGCGGTGGGAACCAAGTGTCACTGCTTAACATCATGATGGATCTTAAGAAGTGCTGCAACCATCCATACCTCTTTCCTGTGGCTGCTATGGTAGATATGAAAGCTTGGGGCTGTTAAATGCCTGGCTCTGAAAATGGGACCAGTTGAGCACAGGGTTGGAGCTGGGTTGGGAGGCCAGAGACTGTATTCCTGAGAGGAGTAGGAGTTGAAAAGGTGTGGAGCCTGGATTTGGGCTTCCACTTTCTGGGCATGGTCAGAATGTGGGGTCAAGTTTCCTGACTCTCTCCTCCTTTTTCTTCCCTTCTTTTCAGGAGTCCCCAAAACTTCCCAGTGGGGCTTATGAGGGTGGGGCACTTATTAAGGCATCTGGGAAGCTCATGCTGCTGCAGAAGATGCTGCGGAAGCTGAAGGAGCAAGGACACAGAGTGCTCATCTTCTCGCAGGTGACCCATCCCTACAGCTCTTTCTCACCATCAGATAATCCCTTACTTCATTCCTGTGGTTGCTGTGGGATGAGAGGTTAGGTGATCATACCCTTAAGAGTTCTTGTATAGCTAAGTTCATCTTGGCCTCTGATCCCTATTCTTAATTAAGGCTGTTGGAAGTTGTAGTCTTCTTTTAAGCCAAAGGGGAGAAGGGGGAGGGGGAGCCATATGTCTCCTGAAGGAGGTCTCTAGGGTTGGTACTGTTTCTTAACCTTATTGGGGAGGGGAGGAGAGCTCAGACTTTTTGGAAATCTGGTGAAAACTGTGGGTCTGCTCTCCAGAAAACTGTACACAGAATTAGATAATTTTGTGCAGATTTTCAGGGGGTTCATAGTATTCCCTGAAACCTTGTCATAATGTCAGAGGAGAACCTCTGCTTAGGAGAAATGATCTTGAATCAAGAGAGAATGACAAAAACGTGGAATGAGGAGGAGCTGGGGGTGGAGGAAGCCACTCCAGAGGAGCATATGGCAGGGCAGGGGTATGGTGTGAGGATTTGGACTGAAGGAGAGTAAAGAGAACAGACAGAGTGCATCCCACCACCTCGTCATTCTAGACTCCTTCCTCTTCTCGTGCTCTAGATGACCAAAATGCTAGACCTGCTAGAGGACTTCTTAGACTACGAAGGCTACAAGTATGAGCGCATTGACGGGGGCATCACCGGTGCCCTGAGGCAGGAGGCCATCGATCGCTTCAATGGTGAGAGGGGCATGCCTTGGTCTCTGCTGGGTGTGGGAGGCCCAAGAAACCTGTGCCTAGGTCCCTGGGATGGAAGAGGGCTGGCCTGGTGGGATATTAGACACTTGGGCTTTTGAGCTGGGGACAGTCAGGGAACATTGTTTGTAGTTAGGGAACATCTAGGAGCAGGTGGACAGAACTGCTGGGTACAAGAAAAGCCTGATCTCTTACTTGCCTTCTAGCTCCTGGGGCCCAACAATTCTGCTTTCTCCTGTCCACCCGAGCTGGGGGTCTGGGCATCAATCTGGCCACTGCCGACACTGTTATCATCTTTGATTCTGACTGGAACCCCCATAATGATATCCAGGTGAGAACTTGCCTCCTGGAGCTCCTTTTAACAAGGAGTCGTGGGTGTCTGTTCTGGGGTCAGAAGTAAACCTTTTGGTGGGTAGAAGACCCTTCCTTGCCAGCCTCCTTTCCAGAGCACGTAGGGGGTGTCTCCCCTGCCACTTCCCTGGCCCATCCCCACTTTATCTGGCCCGTACAGGCCTTCAGCCGTGCTCATCGGATTGGCCAGGCCAACAAAGTGATGATTTACCGGTTTGTGACTCGCGCATCAGTGGAAGAGCGAATCACGCAGGTGGCCAAAAGAAAGATGATGCTGACACACCTGGTGGTACGGCCCGGGCTGGGCTCCAAGGCGGGTTCCATGTCCAAGCAGGAGCTGGATGACATCCTCAAATTTGGCACTGAGGAGCTATTTAAGGATGAAAATGAGGGTGAGAGCCTTTTCTGCAGCTCCCTGAAAGCAGGTCTCTGCTGTCTGTGAGCACTTCTCTTCTGAAATTCCCCGAAGAAAATCTTTTCTCTGCCATCCTAGGAGGAAAGTTGGCTTCTCCTGCTTTCAACCTGTAAGGTTGAAAACAACAAATCTCTATATAGACGCCCAGGGAAAGGGCCTTCTCCTCAAGAGCTCCTCTGAAAAGGAAGCAGAGGAGAAGGCTTTCCTTTGACCTTTCCACTGACTCTGAACTCAGAGTCCCGTCTTGTTCCCCGGCTCCACCAGGGGAGAACAAGGAGGAGGACAGCAGTGTGATTCACTATGACAATGAGGCCATTGCTCGGCTGTTGGACCGGAACCAGGATGCAACTGAGGACACTGATGTGCAGAACATGAACGAGTATCTCAGCTCCTTCAAGGTGGCCCAGTATGTGGTGCGGGAAGAAGACAAGGTGAGAGGCTTGGGGCCAGATGTTGTCCATCCCAGTCGTCTCTGAAGGGCAGTGTCCTTTACTGGACATTGAAGTCAGAGGATCCCTTTTCGTTCCTGTTTTTTTGTCTGATCTCTTACCCCAGTGCCCAGCAAAGAGCAGTAGTGGACCTCAACTTCTTGCTCTAAAGGGTGAGACTGGACTTTGAAGAAAACTTAGGCATAGGATGCAGCAATAAACTCAGAGGGATGCCCTCTGAGACAGAGTGGGAGATAATCAGAGGGCCCTAGAGGAGAGGTTTGGGAAAGAGGGAAATAAGAAGGAGGAGAAGCATATTGCAGGTAAGAGATAAGGAAAGGGCGCTGTGTCCAGAGGACTTTGGGAGAGTGAAGAGGTCTGGGGGCAGTGAGACCACAGGCTGGGCTGAGGCAGGAGAGTAGGGATTTTGTTGCTGTGCAAGGACAGGGGGAAGGGGAAGGCTACCAGCATTCGTCCTGCTGTCCTTCAGATTGAAGAAATTGAACGAGAGATCATCAAGCAGGAGGAGAACGTGGACCCTGACTACTGGGAGAAGCTGCTCCGACACCACTATGAGCAGCAGCAGGAAGACCTGGCTCGGAACCTCGGCAAGGGCAAGCGGGTCCGCAAGCAGGTTAACTACAACGACGCAGCTCAAGAGGACCAAGGTGAGGACTGCCCCCGATGCAGGAATGGAGAAGCGGAGTGGAGAGTGCGGAGAAGGGGCTGGGAGGCTGGGGGCGTTGAGAGGTAAAAAGAGGTCAGGGCCTTCCCTGCTGAGTGGAAATGAGTTAGGACGGGTCACTTGGAGCTACTCAGAGGCCAGGTGGGTTTGCGGGCAATCTAAGCTATCTAGCCGTTGCAGAGGGCTCAGTGGGCACCCAGGGGTCCTTAGAGTGCGTTATGCAGGGGTCAGGAGGCGGGTGGTGATTGGACATGGTTCAGGATACATGGCCCAGAGTCAGCCTACAGGCAGTCATCCAGCAGCCCTAGGAGGGCCAAGGCCAGAGCAAAAGTGCGTCTGAAATCTGAGGGGAGGCAGGCAGGTGGAAAGGCCCCAGGATGGGCTTATCCAGGGAGCCATCACTGACTACTGAGCCCTTTCCCCGCACAGATAACCAGTCAGAATACTCAGTGGGATCAGAGGAGGAGGATGAAGACTTTGATGAGCGTCCTGAAGGTGACATCTGTTTTCCTGACGTTCTCCCACACCTCTTCCCATTTCACTTCCCGTTGTCTTTTAAGTACACTGTTCTTAGACGAATAAATGCTTTTTTCTGTAGAAAAAGTAAAGAATGCAGGCAAGCAAAAAAGAAGAAATATTCATAACCTTGCCACTGTTAAAATATGGAGTATATAACCATGCAGTCTTAGACACCTAGATGAAAGATCAAGAAAGATACATCATTCACACCCCTGCCTGTAACGTTGCTTATATGAAATAGTTGCTACCAACTTTTTAGTATGGCTTGAATCTTTTGAACCGACTGGATCAGTAGTTCTGAATGTGCTGGGAAGAAGATTCCAGGTGCCACCAACCTGACACAGGCTTGCCTGTGTTCTGTGTCTTGTGGGAATGGGGTGCTAGAAAAGACAGGGTAGAGGAGGTGGTGGATCTGCTAACCAGGGCCACCATCTCCCCACCCAGGGCGTCGACAGTCAAAGAGGCAGCTCCGGAATGAAAAGGATAAGCCCCTGCCTCCACTGCTGGCTCGAGTTGGGGGCAACATTGAGGTGAGAGCTGGGCCCAGGCACCTGAGGGATCCCTGAGGAAAGAATGAAGGCCAGGGGACTGGAAACTGAGGCTGGGTCACTGAGGGTAGACGGGACCAAGAAATAAGATCCTGGACGTTCATCTCTCACTCCCACCTTGGCCCCATCTTCAGGTGTTGGGATTCAACACCCGTCAGCGGAAGGCCTTCCTCAATGCTGTCATGCGCTGGGGCATGCCACCGCAGGACGCCTTCACCACCCAGTGGCTGGTGCGGGACCTGAGGGGCAAGACTGAAAAAGAGTTCAAGTGAGTGTGGGTGATCCAGGGCTGAGTTGGATGGAAGGGTAAGAGCTTTGGGTGTTACTTTCTTTCTCTTGGCCACCATATGATGTGACCTTACTCAACTGATAACCATACTCCTTGCCAGACCACATCTGCCGGCTCAGTTTCCTGGGAGGTGGGCTAAGCCTGCCCCACCTTCCCTCACATGAGCCTAGAGCAGAGAGGCTAGGCTCCCTTCCGCACAGGAGAGGCGGTTAAGACAGGAGTCTCGCCTCTGTTGTCCTTGCCTCACATTTGGCCACAGTAACCTGGCAGGGGAGCTGGTGGAAAGGATGAAGAGCTGACTGATGGTGCCTAAGAGTGAAGTGCCGAGGCCAAGGAGACCATGGAAATTCAAGAGGAGGGGCAGTGGGGGGTTAGGGTGTGGAGGGCTGGTAACAGTGAGATTCAGAGGCCCATGGAGGAGCTCTGGAGGCGCCCAGGAGTTTCGGGTTCACTAATCTCTATACCCCTGCATTGCCCTGTGCCCCTTTAAGGCTCTCCTAACCCGTCTCCCACCCCCATGCTCCTTAGGGCCTATGTGTCTCTGTTCATGCGCCATCTCTGTGAGCCCGGGGCAGACGGCTCTGAAACTTTTGCTGATGGGGTCCCTCGAGAGGGACTGAGTCGCCAGCAAGTGTTGACCCGCATTGGAGTCATGTCTCTCGTCAAGAAGAAGGTATCAGTCTTCTCCTCACCCGAAGAGTCAAGCTGGCTGCCTAGGCCCTGTGCCTCCTTTGCCTTGCGTGCCTAAATTCCAGACGCAGGCTGGTGCGAGATAAAGCAGAAGGGACTGGAACTTGCTGTGAGTCCAGTGCCTGGAGCTGATCCCTGTCCCTGCAACTCCCCCGCACCCTTTAGGTACAGGAATTTGAGCATATCAATGGGCGCTGGTCTATGCCAGAGCTGATGCCTGACCCCAGTGCTGACTCTAAGCGCTCCTCCAGAGCCTCCTCTCCTACCAAAACGTCTCCCACCACTCCGGAGGCTTCTGCTGCGAACAGTCCTTGCACCTCTAAACCTGGTAATCAGCTTGGGATGGTGGGAGAGACAGAGGGGACCAGTGTCCATTAGATACAGAGGGATTGGAGTTGGAGTTTCTGCCTTCACTCTGCCTTAACCTTGCAGCTACTCCAGCTCCAAGTGATAAAGGAGATGGCATAAGGACACCTCTGGAGAAGGATGAAGCAGAAAACCAAGAGGAGAAGCCAGAGAAGAATAGCAAAGTTGGAGAGAAAATGGAGACAGAGGTGTGTGGCTACCTGGCTCCCCCTGAGGGGAGGGAGTGGCAAGGTCTTGGAGGCAGGTCCTGGGAGTCCTCCACTTCAGCCTGACTCCATTGTCCTCTTCTAGTCTGATACTCCTAGCCCAGCCCCATCCCTTGGGGAGCGGCTGGAACCAAGGAAGATTCCTCTAGAGGATGAGGTACCAGGGGTACCTGGAGAGATGGAGACTGAACCTGGGTACCGGGGGGACAGAGAGAAGTCAGGTGGGTGAATGGCCTTTGGACTGATGGGGGGCTGAGAATTTGGGAGTTCCCTCTTTGAGGGTCAGGGGATGAGGGTGACATCCTCCCTTCCTGTCCCTTACCCCCTCCCACAGCCACAGAGTCGACGCCAGGAGAGAGGGGGGAGGAGAAGCCGTTGGATGGACAGGAACACAGGGAGAGGCCGGAGGGGGAGACAGGGGATTTGGGCAAGAGAGGTAATGGGTGGAAGGACTGGACTGGACACCTGGGTCCCTGAGGGAATCAGGGGAGGTGGAGTCTGGGGAACCAAATGCCTGTATCCTGGGTGGGTAGCCGTTTCAAGGGCCAGTACAGTACAGAGAGTAGTCGCGGGATCTGGGAGGAGACTGTCTCCTGAGGTGTGAGCTCTGCCCCATCTGCCGTAGCAGAAGACGTAAAAGGGGACCGGGAGCTTCGACCTGGGCCTCCCAGAGATGAACTGCGATCCAACGGGCGACGTGAAGAGAAGGCAGAGAAGCCGCGGTTCATGTTCAATATTGCCGATGGTGGCTTCACAGGTAGGGGGAGTTTCTCACTGCCCCTTGCTCCTCACTGGGGTTTGCTCATCCTTGTGGGGTTTCTCATTTGGCCTGAGGCCTCCTGCTCCCTTTCTGAGTAACTGCCAGTGACATGGTGCGTACTGTCTCTGATCCTTGCCCTTAGTCCTCCTTAAATGTACTCCTAACTCCAGAGCTGCCTTTAATCCTACCTGTATTCTTAATCCTAACTTGAACCTTGTTTGCAACTAGTTTTATTCCTAATCCCTCACCTTAACCTTGTGCTGTTTCTCTTAAAGAACCCTTAGTCCTCTCCCACTGTTCAGGATACCCTCCTCTACACCTGCCTGTCAGGCTAGGTGTGGTTTTCAGTCTCCTGATGCCTCATCTGTCTGTGTCCTCTTTTCAGAGCTTCACACACTATGGCAGAATGAGGAACGGGCAGCTATTTCTTCTGGGAAACTCAATGAGATCTGGCACCGAAGACATGACTATTGGCTTCTGGCTGGAATTGTCCTGTATCCTTTGATACAAATGCAAGGAAAAAAAGTGTTCTCTACCTGGAGAGAGGGGAACTACAGAGAAGATGAGTCCACACATGGGGATGGGGGTGTAGTGCCACACTTTGTGGGGGATCAGGCCAAAGGGAAAACACGTTCATAGCCAAGCCCTGTTAAATTCCTTGATGAGCCCGTTCCTTCGTTGGCAGCCATGGCTATGCACGGTGGCAGGACATCCAGAACGATGCTCAGTTTGCCATCATCAATGAGCCTTTTAAAACTGAAGCTAATAAAGGGAACTTTCTGGAGATGAAAAATAAGTTCCTGGCCCGGAGATTCAAGGTGAGGATGAAGGAGGAAAGGAATATTGGTGAAGAGGGGCTTGGTCAGAAGTGGACCAGACCTGGTTGGAACATAGGCAAGGTTAACACTTTGAGGGTTGAGGCAACACTTGAGGCCAAGACCAGAGTATCACCTTATGTTTGGGACTGTGGGCTGGATCAGGGTGGATGTTGGGGTCGCAGTCAGTATTGGTATGGAGCTGGGGTGCTCTGGGCCAGCGGCAAGGGTAGCATAGATCTTCAGACCCAATCCTCCTGCTCACTGCTGACAGTTCCCTGCACTCACCCCCTCCCCATGCCCTCAGCTCCTGGAGCAGGCGCTGGTGATTGAGGAGCAGCTGCGGCGGGCAGCCTACCTGAACCTATCACAGGAGCCGGCGCACCCCGCCATGGCCCTCCACGCCCGCTTCGCCGAGGCCGAGTGCCTGGCCGAGAGCCACCAGCACCTCTCCAAGGAGTCGCTGGCGGGGAACAAGCCGGCCAACGCCGTCCTGCACAAGGGTAAGGGCCGCGGTGGCCCCGCGCGGGGGAGGGCCCACAACGCTGCGTAAGTCTTCACCCCGCACCCCTCAAAATCTTCCCACCCCTCTGACCCCTTTCCCCTCTGAACCATCCCCCTCTGACCTCTAACCTCACCCCTACCCACTTGGCACCCACTTGGCACCCACTTGGTTTTTAGCCTCTGGGCTTTCTGCAGCCAGCCTTCATCCATGCCTGATAGCATTCACATCAGTGCCTAATAGAAGGACCTTCCCTGCCAGCCTCCATGAGACTGTGCCACGTTCCCTCCACAGGGCAGAACTTCTTCACTGACCCACACACACATACCATACTGCTCATAGCACCCTCTCTGGGGCTTTGGCCTTTGTACAGTCCACAGAAATCCTTACCCCCAATCCCACAAATCACATTCCTCACATCTCATTCACCCACCAAGGCAGAAACTACGGGACTAGCTCTTTCTCTTATCTTCTTACTTTCACTTCATATATATTAATCAATCCTTACTTTATCTTTTATTATTTTTTTTGCCTTGTTCTTTTATTTTATT